TTTTTCCTTTTCCCCCGCTTTATTCTATATGCTTCTTCAAGCTAGAGAGAGAAGAATTGGAGCAAAAAGGCGCTAGCTTTGAACAAAAAACAGTACAAAAAAATAAGGCTAACACCTAACAGCTGTTAGGCCTTGTCTTGAAGCATAGTAATAACTAATAATGAGTGTGGAGCTGCACACACGCAGCTGTGTGTGTTTGTGCGTTTTTTTTTAGCCACTGGTGTGTATTTAGCTTCGTTTAGTAAAGAATTTGGTGCTCTTAAGCTGGTTTTTTATAAGCAACAAAAACAAAAGGGTGGTGTTTGTAAAACGTGAATTTTGTGGGGGCCCTTTTGGACTTTTAGAAAAACAAGAAAATGGGCCCCGCTTTTTGCACCTTTACAATTTTTAGGCCAACCCAATAAATTAGGATCAATAGGGTGAAATTGGATTTGTTATCATTAAAGAATATATGATGGAGAAGAAAGTAGGTGAATGAGTTAATAAATTTTCAATTTAAGTGAATGAGTGATATGATATGATATAAAATGTAATAATAGTGTATAACTATTGATAGTTATGAATATATTAATGTATAAATAGGAAATATTGTATATAAATTTGCAGTAATAATTAATCTTTGATTTAAAATAAAAGTATCAGTGAGAAAATAAAAAATACATAGTTTTCATAGTATATTTTTTAATAAATTGATGTGAAAAGGAGTCGGAATTATATGCACCCGTAAGGAATTTATTTGATTCTATCGTTTTAGGTTAAGCTTTTTGCTGATTTCGAAGCTATAAATATTGGACACAATTAGAAAATACCATTACAAATACATCTATACTTATATTAAAGGGAGTCCTATTTACCAAATTTAGTAGTTAGAAAAGTCAACAGCATTTATTGTCATTACTATTTCCATACTATACAGTTTTATTTAATACTCCCTCCTTTTTAAATTAGATGTCGTTTTGACTTTTTTGATTCATCCATTTTGCTACGTATCTAGACATATTTTATGTCTAGATACGTAGCAAAATGGATGAATCAAAAAAGTCAAAACGACATCTAATTTAAAAAGGAGGTAGTATTTGTTTTTCTATTACGATTTTTAAAAACAGATATGGTCAAATTCTCTCATCATTAATTACTTTTCATTAATTATAATTTATTTATTTATTATTTTCTTAGTAAAAACGGGCCAACATTAATTGATTTTCTTAAAATATGGAAGTTGTTGCTTTATTTTTGTACAGAAAATCGGGCTTCATTATAGAAATTTGTTCAATTACACAATGAATTTGCTATAATATAATTATTTTTTATGGGAACTTTTTTTTAACAGAAAAATATGGCATTTCAATAAGATTTTGATTTTTTAAGACTGATTATTATCATGCTATGAAATTGAATATTCCAATATACTTTAACAAAATATACACGTGGTGTATACATCAGTTGATAGAAATATAGAATCCTCATATTTTTATATATATGTATGTAATTTTTCTATTACCAAATTTAATTGATAGTTGTTGTGTTATGAGTTTTTTCATAATTGTTACTTGGTTGTTGTGATATTTAGTTTGGTTGGTGTCACAAAAATTCTAATCTATATATATAATAAGAATAATAATTACAATGCAAATTAGAAAAATATTGATATTAGAAGAGATTGAGTTCATGGCTTTTCTTAAATCAAAGTTGTTTAATTAGTATACAAAATTAAATTCTAAAAAAATATGTGTATATTATGTACACTATTTAATTTTAAATTTATTTACATGTTTTAAATTGATTACTTATGTAAATAATACCAACGTGCATTAAATATATTTCATTACACAAAATAAAAATAACAAAAAGACGTGCAACTTGTATAACTTTATAAATAATAATGACATTATATGACAACAAAGTTTAATAACTAACTATTATATAGTGAATAAGAATAAGTAAAATTGTTATTTTCTCTTATATCAAAAAATAAATATATATAATAAAATTAAATTTATATTAGTATAAATGTGTTAGTGAGATAATATATTAATTATTTTACAAGTTAGCCCTAACATGCTCACGTTTAATGTTCTGACTAATAAAACAACGCTGATTAAAAGATGTAAAAAATAGATTACAACCCTGTTTTTTTAGACTTAACAGTGATTAAAAGAGGTGAAAAATAGATGATAACTATTTTCAGACTTAAACGAGATTTAACGGTGATTAAAATAGGTGGAAAATGGATAATAACCCTCCCTTCTCAGACTTAAACGGACAGAGTCTATGAAAATATTTCATTTAATATTTCTCTCCCGTGCATCGCACGGGTACATACTAGTTATACAATGAACACAAGTACACAAAACAATTGAAACACCAATAATAATAATAATAATAATAATAATAATAATAATAATAATAATAAGAATAACAGATTAAAACGATTATTTATATTTATAATGGGCCAGGGCTCTTGCACAAAAATTCTACATGGTGAGAAACCCAATACTTTACAATCAGATATGGCCGTGTGTTTAATAGTACTACCATTTATTCGGTCTCTTTTTCATCCCCAAACGCGGCATGGAGCTTTTTTACCACGCTCAAACCTTTGGCTGTTATAGTTTAGGAGCCAACGCACGCGCTTTTATAGCGCGTACGTAGTAGGTGTCTTTCCCCAATAACTAATGAACAAAGCTATCCTAATGTTTTGAGATAAAATATGGAGTATAAATGTTGATTTAAAAGTGACATGATGTTTAAACTTTAAAGTAATAGGATTTTGAGTATATTATATTGTCAAATATTGTATCATTATTATGCTATTGTAACATGATTAAGAACTAATATTGGGTTTGGGGTTAAAATATTTCATAATATTTTTTTTAAATGAATCGAGTCGAGGTGACCTCGATATGTTGATATCTTAACTTGAGTTGAAGCCTTTATTAAGTCGAGTCTAGAGATGTTAAATGGTCCTTGACCCGACGGGTCGACCCATTTAGCCCGATAAAAAACATGGTTAGGACCCTTTATCGGTAGCCCGTTTAAATCAGAGCTTTTTAGGCTCGGACTGTTTAGCCCGAAGCCCGCTAAGGCTAGTCCAAAACCTGCTAGGGTTAGCCCGTTTAACTAGAGTTGGACGGTGTAAATGTTTGCATCAAGTAAGTAATATGCTTTTAGATTCCTTGTATATTACATTTTTTGTTATTGCATTCACATTTCAGTACGAGTTGTAATGGATTGTTATGATTTTAAAAGATAATTATTAACAATATTGTTATTGTACATCACACCAAAATATTTAAGCCAATCAGAACGATTAATAGGAAATACATGAAACATAGTGATAGAATTTATAATGATACAATATTATGAAAATTTTCAAGCGTAAAAAATAAGTAGTAAAATGATAATTGTAAGTATTATTTGGAATTTTTATTTCTTTTGAAACAAAAATAAGTTGTTTAAGAGTTTGTAATATGTGTTCATATATGATTTATGGTTGTATAAATAGAGCGGTCAATAATAAATAGCCGTTGAAAACAATCATTAACTAGCCGTTGTAATTTTTTATATATTTTTTATTCTTTTTATTTTTGATATTATTATTATTATTATTATTATTATTATTATTATTATTATTATTGCCTGTTTAGCCCGAAGCCCGTTAGGGTTAGGGTTAGGTCCTTTTATTGGTAGCCCGTTTAAATTCGGGCTTTTATGTCTGGACCGTTTAGCCCGAAGCCCGCTAGGGCTAGCCCGTTTAACATCTCTAGTCGAGTCGAACTCAACTCGTTAACTAAACGAATCAATAAATGAGTTTGTACTTGACTTGTTAATATTATTAAGACCCTTAACGAATTGAGCTATAAAAAAAGTATAAAAAAAATAGTCTTAATGAATCGAGAGACCGTGTGACTTATTAACTAAACGAGTCAAATCGATCTCACGAGCTAATCAACCAAATTAGAGGATGCTTGGATACAAAACTTATCCAAAAAATCAAAATATTTTTAACTCAACCATTTTTTTAACTCAACTTTAATTCAACTCAACTATCATTAATATTATTAATATAATTAAATAATATCAACCAATCATTCTTACACATCACATCAACCTTAATTTACTATTCATCCACTCACATAATTTTAACTAATTATCACTTCAAATCATCTCTCTCATACTTTTACATCAAATCAACTTTAATTATTTTATTTTAAATATTATTTTAATATATCCACTAACAACTAACCATACCACCTTTTTCAAAATTAACCAAACAAATCTAAAAAAATTTATATCCAAACATCCTCTTAAATAACTCTAGTTTATTTTATAGTGCATAAGATTTGTATTCATTTATTATTTATTAAATGATCACTAAACCCAAAAATGGTCAAATTTTTAATCAATCATGCGTTTGTCACGAATTAAGTTATGGGACAGTGTGCCGTGCATGAAAGCGAGAGAAAAAGAAATAATTTGAATCTAGGATTAAAGTGCATTATCAACTTTTTTACATCTTAATTTTATATACCACCATGGCCAAATTACTTTTACCATTACTTATACGAGGTCTATAAAGTAAAACCACTCATTTTATTCTTCTTAGGTATGTTATTGTAAGTCTGCATCTTCTCTTGGACATGCATAACATTTAAAAATTGCACACTTCTTCAATAGTTAAACATACATATATAACAGTTAAATAGTCATATTTTTTTTAATAAATATAAATATTAAAATAAATAAAAATATGACAATCAACTAAATATATATGCACCTTTGTTAAAAAAGCGTGACGAAT